AGCTTGTACAACTTACCGAATTTTGGAGCCGGGAGGTTTGAAGACTGCAAGGACTCATACTTAAAGAAATTTACTAAATTACGAACGGGTTAACTTATAAAATATATATTTCGAAACACGTTCTGGAATGTCGAGGATGAAAGCTTATATTATTTACGGAATAATGCGGCTGGGAATATTGAAGACCAAACGGACTCAATACAAATGTATTTGCGGAATTGACACGGCCTGAGATTTTGAAGACGAAACGGTTTTACCTCAAATCAGTGAATGTTTGAAATACTTCCCGACTTTCAAACTACAACGCAAACGGAATCAACCACCGGTAATACATGCAAAAACTAAATTTGAAATTTTCTTTGTCCTTGTGATTGGTTACTAAAATTCTCGGTAAAATTGTAGATACGGCCGTTTTTCAATGATATTTTAAAAATATACTTGTGTTGAGCCGGTTTCGCCTTGAGGTTTAGCCGGCTGTAATTTGATATATTTATTCACATTGATCGAGCCCGTTTCGTGTTCAAAATTCGCGGCCGCAATATTCAGTAAATTACATAAGCTCTCGCCTTCGGCATTCCAGGCCGTGTTTCGGAAAATATATTGTATAAAGTGAGTCGGCCGCAATTTGGTAAATTTAACTTTAGTCAGTTTAGTCTTCGAAATTACCGGCCGCCATTCGGTAAATATTTATTCACCTTTACCGTAATAGAAATGAAAAATATATTTTTTTTTGCTTTAAAAAAACTATAAGCTTTCGCATACCTTCACATCTGATCTTGTCAAACGAACAGTGAAATTTGACCCTTACGGTGATTGATCCGCTGATGAACGAACTTCAATTTTTTTTGTTCTAAACTCGTCTTGTGATTGGCTAAAAAACGTTGGGTGGCCCCGGTTGAGTTCGTGTCACTGTAAGAGTCCCTGTCTATAAATATGGAAAATAACTCGGCAAAGGTAAAAAATTTGATTTCGCTCATATTTTTATGGTTAATAGGCTAGGACATGACAAAAGTAACGGGATAGTCTTTCAGGCAAAATATCCTTTCATTTCAAGGAAATATGCAAATTACCAAATTCAGTTAAAATCGTCATTTGACGCGCAATTTTATTAAACAAGTTTGAGAGCCTCACATGCAAAAACCACATTATTATTCCGTCTTTAAAACACTCAAATATTTTTTTGCAATGTTTAAATGTGTACTCGGTTAGTTTGGGGAAATGCTGCGTTATTTTTTGGAGGCAAAATAATTCAATTTCGAACGCATGTATTTCATTCACTTAAAATTACTTCGAAAAGATAATTGGTTTTCACCATGTGCGAAACCTTCGAATGGATTAACCTTCTTGTGGTTGAATCGCCGAAGGATGGTCTACAGATTCCTGTAAAAACTTCTTTGGGCAAATGATTATGAGCGACGCGAGAGCTTTTCAAAGTACGTTAAGAATGCAAATTTTTGCCATCTGCATCACATCTTAATTCTCGGTTTTCAGCTGACGTCATAAGTTTATGCAAATTTGGTTTCCGCCATGTTGGTGCCCATGCGAGGTGTGAAATTATATGGAAATGTATGCCATTTCTGAGCGCTCGCGTTCAAAGTCTTCAAATAATTCATCTTTCCAATGGATATTTCCCAAGAAAACGACCCAAAATCACAAGGTCAGATACCAGTGCTTTCATCCTACGCAAATAACCTCGAAAGCCACGTCCGAGAGCGCTATTTGAAGAAAATTTCTGTGGTTGGCGTAGATCCAGCGGCCATACCGAGCGAGCAGTTCAGTTCAGAATGTTTGCCTCCTATAGAAGTCTCGGACTTGCTGTCCTATTTAGTTTTGGAGACAAGCTATTACACAAACAAGCAGTTCAAGGCCTTCAAAAGTTTGGAGGCGTACAATCAGATGGTTTCTGGATTTGTTGCGTCAGTTCAAGGGAAAGAAATAGCGGGCAAGATTGTTGTTGTGGCCAAGGTGAGACATTCGCAGCGAATGAACGATCCTCTTGTGAACATTTGGATCATTGTACCTGCTTGGTCTTTGGAGTAGACCCCACATATATAAATTTTGATGTTCAAGGTATGAGACCTCATTTGGCAGCATGTCTAAGAAGTGACAGAATCAGCTTGTTTCCTTCATTTTGAAAACATATGCCTATTTTTCAACATGAAAAGGAACATGGAAAATCCTCTGTAATTTTGTATAATATAATTTTGAGATATTTCAGTTTTGAATCTGTGGCTTTGAGTTAAAGCAATTCAGACAAAGCCTTCTCATAGGATATCTGGCAGCTATTGTGTGGTTCCAGAAAATATCCATACCTCCCCCATGGAAGGTTTTTTGTTTGAACCCACCCCCCTCCTCAAAATTTCTAATGACCTTCCATGGGGTGGGTATAGATATTGTCTAAAAACACACATTCCCACCTCCCTAGGATGTAGCCTACAGGCCCTTACTTGGCTGTAGCTGTGAAAATATGTGAAAAACAGAAAATATTGTAATGATGAAACTGTTAAAGCCTGCAAATTTTAAACTGAACCCCCAATTTTTACATCCTAAGTATATCCCTGGCTAAGACTATGTACACTACAATTCACAATTACATAAATTTTGCAATCTAGTCCTACCCCACTAAGGAAGAACAATAACATGTGAACTGCATATAATGAATGAATGTTTATTTATTTTTTAATTTTCATTCCTTGGCTGCCTCATTTGCTTAATGAAACTGGTGGCAACTTGACAACTAATTGTAATAATCGAGACCAGAGGCAGTTCAATAAAACTTTTGCAGTTGTAATTCAAAAGTGTATGTATTGTCTCAGAGGTTGAAAACAATAGCTATGGTTGTCAATTACACTTGTAAGAGTTTTATTGAATTGAACCCTGAATTACATTCAGACATATTAAGTTTCCCTTATTTAG